AACCAGAGCAGCCAGTGGGAGAGCCAGCCTGGAAAAATCAGCATGGTCATTTCACTATTTATTAGCTTTTTTTTTCTTGCTTCTGCCTTCTCCCTACTTCAGGCTGTTCCAAGCAACCATGTTCTCTGCCTCAGAGTTTGCAGAGTTGCTGGAACAACATAGCCTTGCTCCTGAAAACTGCTTTTATGCTTTGCCATATCACAAATATTAAATAAACATAAAGCACTTACGCAAGAAAATGTAGGGAACAAATGCTTTAAAACCTGGTTTTTCTCCATTATTAGAACATCGACTGCAGCAGCCAGAAAGGCCTGACCTCCGTCTGCACCGCCGAGTACAACCCTGTCTGCGGCTCCGATGGCAGAACTTACGGAAACAAGTGCCAATTCTGCAATGCAGTTTCGTAAGTACAAAGCTCACCATGTGGCCATGAAACCAGAGAGCTGGAGCACACACAGGGCAGTGGCAGCTGGTGTAGAAGCCCCAGAGCTCCCATTAGCCCCTTGGTAAATCCATCCCTACCCCATGTTCCTCTCCCAGTGCTCACTCCTCTCTCACCCTCTAGGCACTGCAGATCTTAAGCCTGATTGAGTCTTCTCCTTCCCTTGCAATTAAAATTGGATCCCTGCTTGCAGGCTCTTAGTATTGCTGACTCCCTCCCAGTCAGAGTGATTGAAACTGTGACTGTAGGAGGTATTCAAAATGATGGGGTTTATCCCAAATCTCTTTAACATGAGAAAACTTGTAACCTGGGGAGTCAGAAAAGAGGTGAAACATTAAGTGAAGTACTTTATAACTTGGAGAGCACAAGAGCATTTTGCTTATTTGGGTAAAGTTAGGCCATAAAAATGAGATCCATGTCTAATTTTGGTCTCTCTCTTCAGTCGCAGCCGTGGATCTCTGTTCTTCAGACACCAGGGCGAGTGCTAAGTGCTGGACCCTTCATCATGACTTTTCCCTTACAAATTCTCCAATCAAACATGCTCTTCCCTGCTCCCTCGACCGTTACGCATTGGTCTCTGCTTTGATTGATCAATAAACTAAAAGCAGCCACAAACTTTGCCATGGAATGGTTTTTGGTTTTGGTTTTGGGACAGGGGTAATGGTCTTCAGGCTTTTAGGTACTTAACTGTCAGGCAGGAGGAGCTATGAAATAAATCACAATAGAGAGCAAAGCTTAATGCTCATCACACCTCTCAGGAGAGAATGTCACTCTGTAGCAAACCCTCAGCAGACAAACCAAGCTGCAATTTTATGCCACTTTCCTTGATTTTGATGTCTTGTGGAATGTAAATGGATTTGCCTTTGTTACAGCACTGGCACTTGGAGGAACTGGCCCTTTTAGGGGCCCTGATGTGGGCAGGGATGGCCCTGGGGAAGTGTGAAGGGAAAAGGCAACCCTCATCACACCTGGGCAAGGGGCAGGTCTGGTGGTGCATTATAAAAAGGAGGCTTATGGCAAAGGGAGGAGGTATCTTATAGGGAAGAAAATTAGGAACTGCTGCTTCCTTGAAGGGCGTGTCCATCGAGACTGTGCTCATCAGCGGAAAATTGCAACAAGCTAGGCAAGGCTGTAATGAGCCTAATGAGAACCTGAGGAGAAATTAGACTGCGCTCAGGCTTTCAGCTTCTTGGAGAAGAGATCTGGAAAGCTCTACTGGGGGTATCTGAGGCAGAGATAAGGCAGGGGACCCTTCAGGAAAAGGTCTTGGATTTTCTAACTCCAGGAATAAAAAGCCAGATGTGCTGGTAGGTCCAACATGCTTTCTATCTTGGGGAAAAAAAGGTATGGAGATAACATCTCTGTGGGAGCCTAAAGAGTGCACTGGAGGAGCAATGACATATATGAACGTTCATGATGATGTGCCATCTTTTTGGGTGAGTCAAGGAGTTAATATGCAAACAGCACAGGCAAAAATTCCCAAGGGCTGTAACTCACACATTCCCTTCCTCATCCTTTCTCCACCTCCCATTCTCTTGTTATGTAAAAGAATACATGCTGCTGAGGCTGATACTTAGGCCAAAATCTGTGACTTCCAAGTCTTTTCTTTGGGTCTTGCTTCCTGAAATAGATAACTTCTTGACTGGGAATTTTGTAGGTGCTTCCTACCAGGAGACAAGGAGTTTGTTCTTCCCCTAGTACCAGCACAGGGGAGACAAGGAGTTTGTTCTTCCCCTAGTACCAGCACATTTCAGAGCTTGGCTATAATTTCTTGTTGGACAAGAAATTTGTAGAGCAGCCAAGAGTTTTGACCATAGCAGGAAATTGTCTTCAATGGCACAACCTTATGGTGATCTTCCTCTGCTGTGTTTGTCTCTGCCTGAGGAAGATAAATACTTGCTTAGGAGCTCAGAAGGCTTTGGTTTGTTCTTCCCCTAGTACCAGCACATTTCAGAGCTTGGCTATAATTTCTTGTTGGACAAGAAATTTGTAGAGCAGCCAAGAGTTTTGACCATAGCAGGAAATTGTCTTCAATGGCACAACCTTATGGTGATCTTCCTCTGCTGTGTTTGTCTCTGCCTGAGGAAGATAAATACTTGCTTAGGAGCTCAGAAGGCTTTGGAAAAGCCCAAAGAAGAGCAGGTCACTTGCAGGAAAAGGAAGGATAAATGGTGAGTATATGGCTGCATCCTAGATGCCTGGTGAACCTCTTAGCACAGACCCTTTAGAAGATGAAAAGGTTTGCACCATTTCAGTCTAAAGACTGGCCTAGCAGTCAGTACTCAGCTTGACACCAGCAAGACTCTGCCCAACCATCCCTTAGGTTGCAAAGCAAGGTCCACGTGGTCTTCTTCTATCCTTGATTGTCAGAGGGACAGAATTCCCTCATCTACACCAGCAAGTGGCCTGTTTCAGATGTTATAAAGAAGTGGAAATGGGTAATAACAATAATCACCTGCTTAGCAATTTAGTCTTTTCCTCTCCTCAGCCCAGAAGGGATTGGTCCCTGTGCTGCATTTGCTGAGGCTTTAGCCAATCAGTTGTGCTGCAGCCACCCAAATGTTTGGGCAGATAAGGGACTGAGGCATTAGGGCTGTGGTGGTGAGCAGTGACGTCTGAAAGGAGAAAAGGCAAACAAGTAGTGCTGCGAGTGGCAGAACTGCGCGTGGTTCCGAACGGCTCTGCGGCTGACGGGCTTGATAACTAAATTATATGAGAGGCTGCGTCGTGAGCTCACCCTTAATAGACATCTGAGAATTCACCTGTCACTCACGATTTCTCTGCCGTGTGGATTTTGAGATGTCTACCAAGCTGCAAACTGTAATGCTTCCCCAGATGTAGGGAATCCATAGCATTTCTCTCCTGCAGAAGATCTCTCTCCCTTGCTGATAGTAGCATCTTTCCTCTGTGGCTAGAAAAAAAATGTATACAAATGTGTTTTATTTTTAATCTTTTTTCCACTCCTGTGTAAAATTTGGTTGGAACTGGTTGCTGATTCAAAATTTACTGGGGGGATTAAAAACCAGATCTATCCATACACATTCCTCTAAGCCTTGTCTCCTTAGGAAAACATACTAACATTTAAGCTTATTTTTATCTGAAGAGGTGTTTGGTGAATGGTGCAGCTGAACACAAATCTTTGCACAGGCTCAGCTGGAAATAGAGCTCAGATCTCCCAATTCCCCATCAAATTCCCTTCATTGCCACTTGCTGTGGGAGCAGAGCCCTAACATATGTTTGTGAATGCAAAAAGCTGGAAAACACTGACAGCTAGAGTTTAAATAGTTCAAGGAGGAGAGTCAGCAGTCCCCTATCTGGGACTGTGCACACAGCAATGAGAGCATGTCACATTGGAGCTCTTCTCCACCCCAACTCAATAAATTTAGAACCATCCTCAAAAATAGCCAGGGAACAACGTATAATTGGTTTCACAGACAACACATTCTCATGCTGTGCTTTATTTCGTAACGTCTAGTGAGTGTCATCACGCCGCACTCAAAGCCTCGGAGCTGGCATTCAGTAAGGGCCCAGAGAATGAAAATTACCAGCTTCCCCGATGAATCACCACTTTGAAAATTCACCCTTGTGAGAATCCTGTGACTATTTGGAAAAAAAAATAATTATATTACAAGCCTGTCTATCACTCATATAATTATCCCTTTCTAGGTTTGATGTGGACAGGGCAGCATTCCTTAAAGCACCATAAACCGGCCAGGACCAATAATGGCTTTGGAAACCAAGTGGAGAAGTTCTCACAATTAAGGTGGGGAGTGAGGACAGCTACAGACAGGCACATAAATACACAGAAAGGCAGGTCTGGGTGCACACTGTGGGCTCTGGGGCTGAGACGACACCTCCCGCTCCCACCGCTTGGCTTGAACTAAAGACTTACCTGCAGCATGAAGGCAACAGGTGCCCTAGTGCTTCTCAGCCTGCTGCTGCTCTCTTTCTTCTCGGGTAAGTGATCTTCTCCCTAGCCTAGAATAAAAAAAACCCAAAACCTTTCCTGACAACAAACTTTGGAGAGCCTTGATCACTGGCTGACAGGCTTGAAGATAAAGCTGAGCAAGTAGAAAATATCTGCAGGACTTGCTCACTTGTATGACATATTTCCATTCCTCGTGTGCCTCCGCAGTGAATAACGCAGTGGAGGTGTCACTGGGAGACAGAGAGAGCAAATTCTGATCATCTCTTCAGCAAATGTACCAGAGGAGAATGTAATTATGAATTTTTGGTCCAAATGTTCACTGGAGGGTTTTGCTGAACCAGTTAGAGAAGAAACTCACTCACCTCAGGGTCATCTGCTCTTGTTTTGATCCTAAGCATCTTGGTATTTGGTGTTTTCCTTGGAGATGTGGAAACGTAATTAGATGAAAGTTTCAGCTTTCGTTGATGTTGCAGGAAAAAGCTTGAAAATTAAATTCAGATGTCCTCAAGGAGTCAGAACAAAGAGGGCAAATTAAAAAGATCCAGCATTTATTTATATGGAGATTTACACATCTCTCTGATGATGTGGGGAAGATGAGTGATGATTTTTTGAACATACAGACCATGTCAGTGTTATCACTTGCTTGAGTCCAGCTGACCCAGCTCCGCAAGGTTTGTGGCAACAGCTATTGAAGAACGCACAGTGCAAGAATTATTTATGCTTGTTTTGCTGTGAATAATTTGAATAAAGAATTCACTTGAGAAAATGGCAAGCTGTGCATGGAGAGAAGAGGTGAATTACTTTGTACACATTATTCATTATGAAATATTCATCTGTCTCTAATTGAGTCTTAATTGGGACTGGGTTCCGTCAGAAGGCTGAAGCTTCCTTCCAAGGCCAGGCAGAATAGCAGCAAACTCTGTGATCTCCCGTAAAATAAACAGATGTCAAGAGGCATCATCACAAAGTCTTCTGTAGCTGCATGCAATATTTATAAAAAGCTGTCTAATGAGCTATTTTGTAAATAATATGCAGATAGCCACACCACTGCCTTTACCATTCAGGCAACCTAGCCAAACCTGAGGGCAGGGTAAATGTGGAGCACCCAGGATAAAACAACAAAGAGCAATAGAACTGGTAGAAGAAGTAGTAGGGGTTGATGGATGATGGTTGAGCTGACTGAGGGTTGGGTGGGATTTCCAGTGTGTGGGTGGCTCAGTCTAGGATAAGATCCTCTCATCTCCTGCCCCAGTATCCCTCCTGCCCAGAGCCACCCAAGCAGCATCACAGCTGGCAGTGACCCCTCTGACCCAGCAGGTACAGCCTCACGTCTGAACCTCTGCTGCCCTGCTGCTGTGTGAGATGAAGGTATTAGTCCCACAGTGCTGTGACCCAGATTCTGCAAATCTGCATTCAATCCACCCCTGAGTATCAGGCTCCCCCTTAGAGACACGACGAGGTTGCCCCGTTTCACAGCTCTGACTCAACCTACACGCCTGACTGCAGTCTTTGCAGGGAAGAAGTATAGAGAGGATGGAGTGATTAGCTCCAAGCCCAGAGCCTGTGGTTACAGAGGGTATTTTTGCACTTGTACTGACCGGCACTGCCTGTTCTGCTCTGTATCACTCCATGACGTCTCTTTGTATCTCGCCCAGGATGAGCCTGTTCTGGGAGAGTCTCTGAGCTGTGCTGAGGATGGCTGTAAAACCAACCACAGGGTCTCCTTCTCCACAGCATGCTCCTATTAACACTTCCAGCCATTTTTTGTTGTTCAGAGGGGCAGGAGCCTAAAAGCCTTAGAAGTCAATACAGCTTTAAAATCTCTGGGAGCACAGCTCCAGATCCGATATGGCAGCTTTCTTCCCCAGGAGTGGCTGTCTTCCAGGAGATTGGGTTATGTGTCTGAGGTGTAGTTAGCAGCTGAACGACTGATTACATGGTATTTTAGTAACATTTTTCAAAATAGAAAAATACTGAAAAGCAATGCAGATAATGTATTTCCTGCCCCCTCTCTCTCTGTGCCAGGTGACGGAGTAGGAAAAACCTGGAGTGTATTTCACTGTGGTTTGCATAAATGGTTTGTGATTTTAGTCCAGCCTCTGTCAGAAAGCAAAGATGACGTGTAAAATCACTGTTTGGTTTTTATTTGCCGTGTTTTTTTTTTATTTCAGATGTAGCAGGTCAAGACATTGAAGAGGTTAGTGCTGTGTTTCTGCTTTCTGAATCTGCATTTCATAGAATCATGGAATCAATTAAGGCTGGAAAAGGCCTCCAAGATCATCAAGTCCAACCTTTGACCGAACACCACCTTTTCAACTAAACCATTGCACTAAGTGCCACATCCAGTCATGGCGTTTCACATTAGAGTAATGACTTTTCAATCATTATCTTGGTGCTGGGTAAACAGTTTTTAATGCCTTCTGGGAGCAGGTGGGTCATTCCTAGATTTCCCAACACTGGGGAGTTCTAGGCTACACAGGGGATATTATGTGTGACCATGTTAACAGGTATAGGAGGGAAATAGATGGTTGGTTTGGCAAATGCTTCCCATGGTTAGATCTGGGCTGCTTGCACAGGGAGGTGTTCACACACAGCACCACTTCTGACTTGGCTCCAGTGCCCAATCTCCTCATGACGCAAATGGACTATTGATTGTTCCGTTCCCCCAACTTAAGTCCATCTCTGGGACTTGTACAGAGACAAAATACCTGGGAACCATTTTTAATTCCCCATAGACTATGGTTTTCTCCTCCTTCCTGCAGGGAGGCAGGAAGCTCAGCAAGCACCAAGCTGAGTGCAGAGTTTTGCAAGATGCATGAAGTGCAAGTGCAAGACGTGCAGCAGCTTGGAGCCAAATGTCTGACAGAGCATCAGTGCTGACTCTCCTCCTGCATGCCTAGGCTAATCCACTGATGTCACTGGGAGATCAAGACTTCTCCCAGGTGACAACAGTTTCCCTCCTCAAACATGGGGCAAAACCACCCCTGAAATGCTGCTTCTGCTCATTTCTGACAGGGCTTTTTCTGTCAGTAAACAGGCAGTGTCGGCACTTGTCAGAAAAAGCATTACATTGATGACCTTGTATGCAATTTGGAGAGAGAAACAAGGAGTATGGGAGTCCTGAAAGGTGTTTTTATTTCATTCCTGTTCAGATTTGTAGAGAGTTCGTAAACAGAAGCGTGTACTGCACGAGGGAGTCCAACCCTCACTGCGGCACCGATGGCATCACATACGGGAACAAATGTGCCTTCTGCAAGGCAGTGCTGTAAGTGACATAGAGGGGGTTGAAGCCAGAGACACTTGGCTCCATTTCCACGTGTCTAATGATGTTCTTCATGGTGGGGAAGCCCTGCACCCAGGCTGCTCCTCTTGTGCCGGGCAGAATATTTCCTCCTTGGAGAGGAGCTGTGCGAATGGGAGTTAATTTTAATTCATTTCTAGGCACTGCAGGCTGCTGGTTGCCATGCTGAGAGGCAGCACGGGGCCTGGGAGGCAACTGCATCCTGCCTGTACCTTTTGCACACACTAAATTGATGCACAATTCCCACTATATGCCACAGGCTGCAGCTCTCACTGCCCACACTCCTGGGTACCAAGAAGTGCCTGGAGGAATGTGGGAGCTGAGCCATGCCAAACTATTCCTGAAAAGTCTGAATGAACTTTGTGGAACAAGACACAAGATCTCAGAGGGAGAATATAGTGTTTCTCCTTTTCCTGAGCTCTGTCACCTATTAAAGGAGATTCAAGAGGAGTCAGCCCCCCTGGATGGAATGTGCTTGCAAAACATCAATTTTCCCTTAGCAATCCTTACATTCCGTGGGCACTCGAGGCTGCCTTATCCTAGGGGAAATCAGAGAGGAACGAGGAGAGGAGAAAATAGCTGGATATCCCCTGTGAGGCACCAGGGTATGCTGGCACGAGTCAGGCCTGGTGGGATGGATGAGCTCTGCCCTACACTGCTGTGTCTGTCATTTGGTGCTTGGTCTAAGTCTGTCTCACTATTTCACAGGAGAAGTGGAGGGAAAATAAGATTGAAGCACCTGGGGAAATGCTGAGTCCTCACTGTCACTGAGCAGCAAGAGCTGAGCCACCTTTGGCAGCGGCCACAGACACCTGTGCACGGTCCCAGGAGCAGTCTGCTCTCATCTCTGCTGTCTCTGTTCAATAAAATAAAACTCAGCACGACTCTTTGGCTGGATTCTTTTTTCCATAATACCCCAAAAAACGCTTTGATCCAACTGTGCTGGAGCCTTATGCATGGCTTTGCTATCCTGAGCTGTTGCATCACCCTCCTCCTGGGAAGCAAGGCGCTCCCTATGCTGGAGCAGTGATTCCCACGGCTCCTGTGGGCTGTGCCCTCCCATCCCAAACAGCCACAGCTCTTCTGTCCCATCCTGCCTGACAAATTGGCACACGCTTGCTGGGCAGCCAAGCAGACACCTGCTCGTGGGCTCCTGCCTGATCTCCCCATCCCAGGGGGTGGGTGACAGCGGGTACCTCTGTTCCCTTCCCAGCCTCCATAGACATGTTCCTTCCTCTCTCAGAGGTTATTGTGGGAGGGTGACGGGAGAGCTGGTGAACAGCGTGACTGCATATGCCTCATCTCCTTTGGAAAGCAGAGACAAGCAAGCCAAGGCTAGGGAATATTGCTCCATTTAAGCCTGCACCAAGAAGATGGCAGGTGGAGGCTGGTTTTAGGCTGAAGCTCCAAGCCTCTTCTTCCCAAATAAGTCTTTTTTTTTTCTTTTTCCTTCTAAGAGAACGCTTTGTCTTGAAAACTGTGAGCTCACCAGGATTAGTTTCCTGCTGCCAAGTGGCTTCTTGTGTTAATAAATTTATATTTAGAAGAACACCAGATTGTATAAAGTGTCAATAATTTAAAAAACATATTCCCTGCAGGAGAAGAGCTGTGGGCTTCCTCTCCCCTCCTCCAGGATAAATTCTCCCTGAATCATAAGCAGAGCTTGATTTTCTAGGCACAAATATTTGTATTTATTTACAATTTTTAATGCACATAGACTCTATTCCTCCCTTCTCACACTGCTGCCCTCTATTCTTCACACTGGGTGGAAGATCCTTCTTTGTGCAAATGGGAGAAAAGTAATTCTACTGTCTCTCCCCATTCACCGTCACACAGCGAAATACTTGTGGCATCCTCTTGTTAAAACATTGGCAGCAGATCAATGGGACACCAGCTCCTTCATGTTAAACACTTAACTTTCAAAGGGAGCTTTAGATTTTATCATGAGCCTCAGGGGTCAACATCTTTTGCAAGCACCTAATGCTGAGTGCCTAAACCTCTGGACCTTGTTTGGACAGAGCTTGAGTATTTGCTTCTCATGCCACAATCCCTGCTTTGAACTCAACTGGGGCATAATGCCTAAAAAGAGGCCTCAGCAATGCACTCAGCACACCAAATGCCAAATTCTCCTCTGATAATCCACATAACCCAATTTTGGCATATCCTTTGTCATTTGGTAACTTCACAGGCAGCGTGCAGGTGGCAGCCAGCCAGTGGTTAAACTGTGCAGGCACAGCTCTGCATTGGCTGCTTTGGAGCTTCTCTGTCTTTGATCCTGGCATTGTTTCCCATCCCAGCCTACTGGATTCTTGCAAAACCTTCCACGTCTTTGTTGAAGCAGAGTCACCCTCTCTGTGCCCCAGTTGTACAGCCAGAGCACTTGTTTGGTTTTAAATTCAGGTGTTACATTAGTAAACTCAACAGCAAGACACCCAGAACATGGGCAAGATTGAGGGCAGCAAGATGCACAAGTGGTCATGAAGGACACATTGGGGAAGTGGGAGGACCTTCCTCATCAATCCTCCTGCTTGGAGCATGATGTTATCCACATGCCCTCTCCTACCTGAGTTATCCTCTGATGATCCTATTACATTGTGTGGTTCTGGACCAACACCATATCCAGAGAACAGGAGCAAAATGACACAGTTTTTAAGATGGAAAATGACATTTTAATGAGACAGAGGGTATAGGACATCTTTATGCCTGAGATGGCCCTCAATGACTCCAAAAATCTCACAGCATGTTCCTGTATCTAATCCCTTTGAATCTGGAGGCTGAGATAACAAGGACAGATCACAAGGGTACAGAAACTGCAAGAGTTCAGTGCTTGCTTTTTCAGAGCAAATAGCAAATAAAAACACCTCTGTACCTCAAAGACTCAACTACCATCTCCTCCACCTGTGCCAGGGAAGAAGAGAATGGGAGTCATTTGCTTTGAAAAAATTACTTCCCTCACTTGGGGAAACTTCCCAAAACTTCATCCCCCAGGAAGGCCAAGAGAGGCATCACTACACCAGGTGAAGAGCTCCAGTCGTGGTCTGTCTGTCCCTCCAGCTGAGCGGGCACATGGATCTGGTTAACCGAGATGGCAGGGATGCTTTGCTGGTTCTTGGGCTCACCATCCCAGCAGGGCTGGTGGATCCCTGGAACAGAGCAGGAGTGCAGCAGTGGCCACAGGCTGTGCAGCCTGAGCTCCCATCTGTGTCTCGCTGCCTTCCCAGGCACACACCAAAACAGAACCCAAAACTTCAGCCACTATTTCTCCTTAATTTCTTTTCCCCACCTTTTAAGTTGTGTTGAGTTTGGGTGGTTTTGGTGGGGTTTTTTTGACAGCTTTGAAAGGTGAGTGAGTCATGATACATTTGAGATCTCTCTACTAATAGATAACATGAGCATCTTCACAGCTTTTTCTCTCCCTGGGGAGGAAGGGGCAGAGGCTGAGGTGGGAGCTGCCTCGGCAGCTCAGTTGCTGCCAAGACCTGCCCTCTGCAGCAGAATGAGGGCCTGGTGCTCCCCACATCTCACTCAGTCCCCTCAGCAGTTAAAATAATGTGAGAATTAAATCTGTGCATGGTTGCTCTTACTGCTTCTTGCTCACAGCTGAGCACCCTCCTGTGACGAGGCCACGCACGTGGCAGGGGAAGGATGTGTTTCCATCTCACAGCTTCACTCTGCTGGTGATGAAGCTGATACTTTATTGTGTCCAGGCTCTTGGCCCATTTAACTTGTGTGCTCAAATGCTTCCTCCTCCTCCCCCAGCATGGGCACGTGTCACTGTTGCAACTCAGTTGAATCCTTTGTCCTACTTTTTTCCCTTGACATTCACAGTGTTTGACAAGGCTTTTCAAGCTGCCATGGGATGATCCTAGGGTGGTGGTGCTGATGGCAGGGTTCTCACAACCTGGCTGGGGAGGAAGCTCTGGACTTGGTTATCATTCCGGTTCACCCTCTTTTCCTTCAGACAAGCAGGCTGGATCAGGTTGGAAGGGAGTTTGGTCCAACTTCCTGCTCATGGCAGGATCAGTGCTGAGGTATAATCATGTTGCTCAGGAGGTAGCATTGAAAATCCCCAAGGATGGATGTGCAATCTCCCTGGGCTTCCTGTCCCAGGGTTTGACTGTCACTGTGGTAAAGAAGTTTTATCTTGTATACAGTTCCAACCTCTTTTCTTTCAACTGCCTCATCTCCAAACCATGAACCACCAGGAGGAGTCTGGACCTGTCTGCTCAGTAACCTGCTTGTTAACCAGTAGGATGCTTTTATGTCCCCCTGAAGTCTTCTTCTCACCAGGCTGAACAAGCTCACCTTCCTCCACCTCACTGAGCAAGTGCTCCAGCCCCCAAATCTCTTGGTGGCACTTCACTTATCTTACTCCAGTTCTCCAACACCTTTCTTATATTGGGGCAGGGCCCCAAACTGGAGAGGGGAGGGGATTCTGAGCTACGGGGAGAGGGAAAAGGATTGCTCAGGGAGCATGTGGGAGAGCTGTAGGAGTACTGAAGAGGACAGGAAAGATGTAGATTGGTGGCAGTTGCAGGGAGCAGCAGGAGGGTGTCAACATGCATTGGGTCCTGTAAGGATTAGAGAGCAGCTGAGCCTGCTCCAGGGTGAAAGGGCTCCCAGATGTCAGGAATCAGCCAACAGGTCCCTCCATGCCCATCACAGCTGAAGGACTTAAATAGGAGCCCAGAGGAAGTATTTGTCTGTTTTCATGGGCTACAGAGCTAAGTGAAGGTGAAGAGGTTGTTTTGTGGTGTGAGAGTGTTGGTGTTTGGTTGTTTTTTTGGGAGTTGGTGGTGGGGTTTTTTTTGGTTTTCTGCTTGCTTTTGTGGGTGTGTTGTTTGTTTATTTTTTCCCCCTGAAATAAGCAGTGTAGTTCAGGAGCTCTCATAGGAGCAGCTGCAGTAATTGTGCCTCGTGTAGGTGTCTTATAAGGCAGCTCTAAAAATGATGAGGAAGGCTTATAAAATGTGGAAGACAAGGGTTACCCCAGTCCATAAAGGAAGAATGGGGGAGGTGTAAAATTTACCCCTATGGCAAAGCAGATGCCACAGGAAGAGGTGCTTGTTTTGGAGCTCCAATGATGAGATGGTGCTTCAAGGCAACTCTTTGGCCTTGACACTGATGGAGCAGTCATAATGACTTCAATAAGGTCAGCTCCTCGGGACTCTGGAGAGAGCAGGGTTTTGGAGGAGGCTCAATTAGTAATTGAAGGATAAGGACAAAGCTGAGCTTCTGCTGGGGCTGAGGGATGTACTGACCAGCCTGAGGCTGGCTCCAAACAGCTTTGGTGGTTGTAGCAGGGTTGGACTTAGTACCCAGTTTGTGGAGTTAGGGTTTCTGAGGGATGTGGAAAAGCAGCAGTGCTGTGTAATGAAGTACTTCCCTTCCTAAGCTAAAATTGCACAATTAATTGGGAGTGAACAGAAATGTTGGTATTGTGGCAAGGGCTGGCTCTGACACTTCTGGCCTTCTTCCCAAAGAACATGATGTCCTTCCTTGGGAGGGTGATTTTGGGGAGTCATCTGTGATAAAGCCATCAGCTGCCTGGGCCCTGCCCTGTAAACACATCCTCCTGTCATCCTCCGTTTCTGGACCTATCCTAAATCCTTATGCACAGTTACAACAGGCCACCGAGGGCTCTAGTTTTGTCTGATGATGCCGACCCATTGGAAAGGAGCCAGGAGAGGCTGCACAAAGTCACCTGCGCCTCTTCCCTGTCCCTCGGGTCCATCCCTGCCGGAGGATGCTCCG